ATTCTATTCTATTCTATTCTATTCTATTCTATTCTATTCTATTCTATTCTATTCTATTCTATTCTAATTCTATTCTATTCCTTATTTGTTCTATTCTATTCTATTCCTTATTCATTCCATATTTTCTATTCTATTCTATTCTATTCTATTCTATTCCTATTCTAATTCAATATATACTATTCTATTCTATTCTATTCTTTATTCCAATAGTCTATTCTAATTCCATCTCTTCTCTTCTCTTCCTATTCTATTCTATTCTCTATTCATTCCAATATAATATTCTATTCCATTCCATTCCTATTCCTATTCCTATTCTATTCTATTGTTGGTCTGAGTTGGTAATTCCTTGGAGCATTGTTTAATACTTGACAACTTGTATATAAACAGAGAGCCAACCCCACTGCCTTCTAGCACTGATGATGTTACCTAGTTGGGTCATGAAATGTCTGCAGGGAACTACCAAGCTCAGAGAGCACCAAGGACCTCATAGCGGCCCAGCTTCTCCTCCTCCTTTTCCTCTCCTCCTCCATTCCACAAACCTCAGTCCCTTCTATCACTGATGACATTACCTAGCTGGGTCACGAAACGTCTGCCAGAAAGCCACCCACCTCAGAGACGCCCAGTTCAATCCCGAGCTACACAGGTCCTCTTCTACTGGTGACCTTTTCCAAGTGGTTTGTGAACCCCGTCGGTCTTCACCTTGGCTTCCTCAACGGTGGCTTCCGCCCACCACTGTGGATAGATTCTGAAAGAGCCAACCCAACGGAAATTCAGAAATTTGGGACCGGTGTTGTGGAAAAACCGACCTGCTGGCTTCGGAGGCCAAATTGAGATCCCGGTCCGGCAGGGAGTCCTCCCAGTCTAAGATGGTGTCCATTAACTTGCCTCTTTAAGAAAAAAAAAAACACAAAAAGGCAGACCGATCAAACCAACGGTGAATGGGAAATAAAAGCATTTTTTTTAAATACTTCCCCTCCCTCCCAGAGTTTTGGGGTGTATTTCTACCATCAGGAGTCCCAAGCCCCCCTTCCTCTTCCTCCAGAGAGTTGGAAGGCGTGAATGAAGACCCCCAACCCACATTTCCTAGCCTCGTCTTCCAAACCCCAGCGGAGAGGAATTGAAGGGCCTTTTTCAAAAGCAAGCAGCTCACAAAATAAAAGATAGGGAGGATCTGATCTTGGGAGGGAGGAATAGACATGGATTCCATGGGATTTTTTTTTCCCCCCCCAGGAAGTTTGACAGGCAGCTTGGATTTTTCCTGTTTAGCTCACCGGAGTTTGCATCCGATCTCTGGCTCATTGATACCGATCACGGATCTCCAAACCCCAGAGCAATTCTGGGACTTCAACTCCCAGAATTCCCCAGCCAAAGAGACCTCTGCTCAAGATAGAACACAGGTCATTTAGTGACCATTTGAAATTGCAATGTCCCTGGAAAAAAAAAGGGATGGATGACCATTTCCACCCTTATGACCGCTGCGTCCCACAAGATCCAAATCCAGACGCTTGGCAACCAACTCATATTTACGACAGTTTGCGGTCTCCCGGGGGGTCACGTGATCCCCTTTTGCGACCTTCGGACGAGCCAAGTCAACAGGGAAAGCCTGGTTCGCTTAACAACCATGTGAGTAACAACTGCATTCGCTTAAGGACTGTGGCAAGGTCGTAAAATGAGGCAAAACGCACTTTTAACCAATGTCCCGCTTTAGCAACCATGTGAGTAACAACTGCAGGCATTCGCTTTAAGGACGGTGGCAAGAAAGGTCGTAAAAGGAGGCCAAACGCACTTTTAACCAACGTCCCGCTTTAGCAACGGAAAGGTTGGTTGTGAAGGGCCAATTGTGGCCGTTGAGGGCTACCTGTAGAGTCCTTGTTTAACAACGGCTCGAAGTTCAAGCTACAGCAGATCAGCCTCCCCCAAAGGTACTTACAAAGGTACTTTGAATTCCCGGGGTCTACGCCACACGCCTCCCCATGGTCCTGTGAACACATTTTGGGTGTTCGACAACTGACCTGCATTGATGGCCATTTGCAGTCTCCAGTTGAGATAATTTTAATGGGCCAAAGGAAAGGAAGGGAAGAATACGACGACTGGGTGGGGCCAGTCTGAAGGACCACGGGGGACATCAGAGCATCGTCCGTTATCTCAGGGTCTGCCCCAAAGAGGAGGAGGAGGGGGGCGTCAATCTATTCTCCAAAGCCCCTGAGGGCAGGATAAGAAGCAATGGATGGAAATTAATCCAGGAGAGAAGCAACCTTAATTATAATTAAGTATAATATAATTATAATTAACCAGTGGGACTGCTTGCCCACCAGTAGTTGTGGTTGCTCCATCACTGGAGGTTTGAGAAAGAGGCTGGACAGCCATTTGTCTGGAATGGCCTAGGGCTGCCCTTTGGAGCAGGGGGCTGGACTAGAAGACCTTCCAGGGACCTTTTCCAACTTCCTTCCTGGAGACAATGAAGGACTGAGATGGGTGCAAATTGAGCAGGGACTGTTAAAGACAACCCATCTTCTCCAGGGTTAGGATTCAATTTTTTTAAACAACCGGTTCTGTGGGCGTGGCTTAGGTGGTGGGTGTGGCTTGGTGGTCATGTGGCTGGGTGGGCGTGGCTGGGTGGTCATGTGACTGGCTGGGCGTGGCCAACTCAACATCACTCACATCGAGGCACGCATCTCCTCGCCTGGCCTCTCCTGACTGTGGGGATGCCGCAACAGTCGTAAGTGTGAAAAAGGGTCATAAGTCACTTTTGTCAGTGCCATTGTAACTTTGACTGGTCACTCCACACAAACTACCAGCAAAGGAGGGGAAAAAAAACTCAAGAGACGTTCCTGAGACAGGAAGTCTCGTCCTGCCAAGAATGTAATAAGGGTTAACGGAGAGGCAGTTTCTGTAAGCAACACCAGAATGTTTCCTTCCTGCCTTCCTTACAGGATTAGGCCAGTAATTTCTTCTAACAACCAGTTCTCCAAACTGGTTAGAATGTTAACAACCAGTTCTAGTGAATAGGTGCAAACTGGTAGAATCCCACCCTTGATCTTCTCCCTGCCTTTTTCCTTAGCAACTCCCCTCTCCACAAAGGACCCCCAAGTTGCTATTAGTAATCTTGTTGAGATTTAACGCCAGCTGAAAGCATTTGGGCTGAGAGGCGTTTCCACACACCCCTTCCCGGATGGGAGTGGCAGCTGTGGGGCAGCTGCCCTCCCTAACAGGCATTTTGCTCCCAAATACGAAGGGGAAGGGGGGACTCCCGGCATGCCCCCCCCCACCGGCCTTTGGCTGATATTTTTAAACCACTTTTAAACCAATTAACCAGTAGAACAGCTTGCCTTCATTTGTTAAGTGAGTTTTGCCTCATTTTACCACCTTTCTTGCTCCAGTTGTTAAGTGAATCACTGCAGGGTTTTTTATGTTTATTTATTTTTTTTGCAAACATGTCAATGCGTGAACAGTGTGTCACCTGAGTGTCATACATTTTGATACAAATGAAGTAGTATTAATCATATTTGTTTCATTTAACAAGCTTGTATAATTCTAATAATAATAATAATAATACACATATTTATGTGTATTATATATTTAAACAAGCTTGATACCGGTGCTTCGCTATGAAATTATGTGGTCAGGCTGTTTTCGGGGAGGAAAATAAGGAGAAAAAAATTCTGTCTCTGCCTAACCAGCATCCATCTGGCTAGCATCCCGCTAGCGGTATTCATCTGGCTAGCGTCCTGTCAGTGTGTGAGAGTGTTGAGGGCTGTTTGGAAACTGAAACAGTATTGGAAACTGAAACAGTGAGCAAGGAGACAGCAAGGAGCCTGGGCGTGGCTTAGCTCAACTGTTCTGTACTAAAGCTGCTTGGTGCTCTGAAACTGAAACTGAACCTCCTCTCCTCTGCTTGTGTTTTGCATTTGGAAGAGATTTCTTTTCAGGTGGGGAGTAGAACTCCTTAGCATCAGAGTGTGTTAATGATAATAATAATATAGGAAATACTCTAAATGCTCTGATGGTCTTTTTGAAAAACCCTTTCTTAGTGAGCACCTAGAAGCCAAGAAGAACATATGTGCCAAGTTTCAAATTTGTAAGCTTTATGGCTCTGGAGATTTTGTGATGATGCGTGAGGGGGTCTTTCGCTTTTATATATATATATAGATTCTATAATCTTTCATTATTTAGATATTCAACATTTCACGGTGTTATTTTTATGCCAATCACCCTATTCTAAATGTCATTGGATTAATCCTATTTTATTGATCGATCACGGCAGTTGATAAGCAAGTGACTCGGTTGTTAAGTGAATCTGGCTTCCCCGTTCATTTTGCTTGTCACAAGATCGCAAAAGGGGACCACGTTGCCCTGGGATACTACAACCGTCGCAAATATGAGTCGGTTGCCAAGTGTCTGAATTTGGATCACATGACCACAGGGAGACGGCACAGGTTCGTAAGTGTGAAAAACGGTCATAAGTCCCGTTTTTCCAGTGCCGTTGTAACTTTGAACCAGGGGTCCCCAAACTTGGTCACTTGAAGCCATAGCTGGCTGGAGAGTTCTGGGAGTTGAAGTCCACAAGTCTTCAAGTGGCCAAGTTTGGAGACCCCTGCTTTGAACGGTCACTAAACAAAGCGTCGTAAGCTGAGGGCTACCTGTCATTAAGATATCAAACAGGCTGCATTCACACCGCACGGCCAATCAACGAAACGGTCTTTATGTGATGGGACTTGATGGGACTGG